GGTTCTAAAAATATACAAGTTTGAGACTCCATTAAGCAGTTTTCTCAAACAAGCTCACGAAAAGAAGATGAAAAAATTCATTGTGAAAAAGGCTCCAAGCACTTCAATTAGCGCCTTAGGGTGAGAAATGACATGTACTAGTGAGCTGAACATCTTGTAGATGAAAAAGATGAAGAAGATGAAAAAAATTAATGTGAAAATAGCTCTAAGCACTTCAATTAGTGCTTTAGGGTGAGAAATAACATGTACTCGTGATCTCAACATCTTCAGCAGAAAGTATGAACAATTAATTTGGCTCTGATGAGATTATAATTGAATTATTGCTGGTTTTGAACTTGTAGGAGGATGCACATGTTTATGTTCTTTGGGTACATACAGTGACAGGTTGGCAACACCAATCATTCACACCCAAATGAAAAATCAATGGCTACTGCTGTTTTTGAATATAATTAACCAGGTTCTAGTGGTGGTCAATGAAAAGTATACATACAAAATGTAGCATGAAATCTGAAGCTAGTCTCTTTTTCTAAGAACCAGATTTCGAAAAATTCCTTTTACTGATTGAAATTGTAAAATTTGACTATTTTGAAGAAAAAAGTTACATTCTAAGCTTACTCATACTGTAGGCTGTTATGGGGGTTTGGGGAATATTATGTGACATATTTAAATATGACTATGTGCGAATTGTTCAGAAGTGAATCCTCATAGATCAGTGTGTGGCAAAACGCAATTCAAAGGTGTTAGCATGTGAAATTGGAACAACCAATTGAATGGGAAGCTGAAACAATCACCAACTTTCAGATGCACAGATAATGAAATTACTGGTTGGTATATGTAAATATTGAACTCAAATTCAGACCTTGGAATATTTCATATAATAATCCCAATAAAGTTAAAGAGTGCAATTTTAATCTTCTCACCATCACTTCCCTCTTTTCATCTAAAACTCACAAAATAGTCCTGTTTATAGTCTGCACTTTTCTTCAGATGATAGGACAAAAATAGCAAAATTTTGGAGTAAAACTGAAAATTGACTTTAATTTTGTCTGTTGGCTCCAATAATTAAGGTTCATTTCAAGAATATAGGAAAAAAGTGCAGATAAATTTGAGCAAGAGAGTCTAGTGGTGAACAGGGTAAAGTGGTGCCATTCAAGCAAATACCTCTATGGCCTTCAATGGTAAATTTCAAGCCATGCATAAGATATATTTTTGTCTAAACTTACCTTAAATTATATACATCCATTTTTAGCTGATCTCTTGATCTTTCAAATTCTTTACTTGTCTGCAGAAAAAATGTTGAAAGTAATACAGCAAATATAGTATGTGAAATCACTTTGTTTGAGCTCAGACTACATCTACCAAAGCCGAATTTGACTGATTTAGATGTACCTTTTCATAAAGATTACTGGAGTTCGTTCTTGATGCTAAATCTCGTTCTAGTTCAGCAGTACGATGACGTGATGCCTGTAGTCTTGTACTAAGGTTATCAACCTCATCTGAAAATAAAAGTTTACATGATTCTCCTTAGTATCACCTTGAACGTTTAGAGCACATGATAGATCAGTCTAATATAAAGGAAACTTTTTTTTTTTTAAACTTTCATAAAATCAAGCACTAATATATATTTGAAACAAGTGTCACAAAAACTGGATCATGAAACAAGCAATTCGTACTAATATGGAAGTATGAAAACATGAAAAATGAAAGCAAAATGTTAGTCTGTAGTCCATCTTTAACAGATCCAAAAAATCAAAAACACCAATGCTAGATGAAAAAGTACTTTTGAAAAGTTTCACAGAACACTGGCCATAATGTCACATGTCTAACAAATCCCTCCTTACCTAATTTTTGTTTCAGGGTCATCTGACTATGATTCAGAGACGTCTGTAGTTCGGATTTCTCAGAGACCAAGATGCCGATGGTCTGAATGTGAACCTGCAACTGTTCCTTTAATGCGCCTATCTCTTTCAACATTTTGCTCTCATGTTCCACTCTTTCCTGCAATCAAACAAATCGCATTCGAAAATCAGAACAGAACATTTCTAAGCACCACTGACAATATTTAGAAAACCTTTTTCACCATGATTAATGCAGTGAAGTTTTATTTTTTTTGCTCAGTGACCTTAAAATGAGACCTTCATGGCGAAGTTGTCAATTCTGTGCTGTGATTTTTTTTAGTGTGTAATATGACCAGGAACTAATGCAACTACACTATAGAAATTTCAGATTGGATTTCAGGTTCTGATAGTGTTTAATTTTCAGATTGGATTTCAGGTTCTGATAGTGTTTAATTTTCAGACTGGATTTTCAGGTGCTGACCGCATTAATTTTCAGACAGAATTATAGGTGCTGACAAACAATCCATGTAGTAGATGTATGGTAGTCAATTGATACTTATTATGTTACATTATGTTATAATTACCATATTTGCTACATTAGAAGCGCATACATATAGTACAGTAAACTAAAAATTGCTATTGTAGTACAATGTATAGCGTAGAAATAACTATGCGCTACTAATACAGCAAATATGGTACATGTATGTGAAAACACTTTGTTTTATCTCAGACTATATACCAAAGCTGAATATCAAGCAGTCCAACCCTGTCATATTAAGTTTAAAAAAAAGAATATGAATCATTTTCCAATCAAAAAAAAATTCTATAAAGTTTGATATTATTATCTTTAATATTAGGTAATGAAGTGAAATGAGTAACCAGTGTCAGTGAAACGCTATAGGGTTGTTCACGATAGGGTAGATCTACTAACCATATTAAAAAGCTCAGTATGTGAAAGAGATCAACTACAGACAATGTGTACAAATAATGCTGACGCTTTGAGCCCTATGGTAATTGTTTGACTCTAGGTCACAGCTTTTTATTCATTTGCTATTAATCAGAAGTAAGTTTAGTGCATGAAAAAATTTCCAGCAAAATTATTCAAATACCACAACGGTTAAACATGCAATTTTTTTGTTTACTCTTTATTTGTCTGAATTGAATGAATTCATGAATAATTAAGCACACTATGTAATATGCAAGAAGTCAGCAATTGTATCGACTAACACGTAGCAGTGGTTGATATAATCCTGTACTACCTAAGTGCATATTTGAGGTAATTCGTAATTTAGTCTGAGTTTAACAGCCAGCATTTAACACGGTTATATTTCCGATGTAAACCAGATTCTATTTTCCTTGTGAGCACTGCATTGCTGAATTCAATATAAACAAAGGAAAGGAATGTAACGAAAATAAGGTACATTTTCAATATAAAAGAATGTTCATAACACTTTTGAAAACTATATTGATATAGGTTTTTAAAGACTGCTTAAATTCTATTGTTTTCACTACCAGGTGTATAAACATGTTTATTACTAACATTCAGACTGCTTAAATTCTATTGTTTTCACTACCATGTGTATAAACATGTTTATTACTAACATTCGGACTGCTTATTTTCTATTGTTTTCACTACCATGTGTATAAACATGTTTATCACTAACATTCGTGAACAACGCTACTACAATGTGGTGAATTAATATGAAGAAAACTTGTAACTAACAATTAAAATGAGAACAATCACAAGCATGAATAATACAATACAGCAAGCATAGAGTGTGCTTAAAACCTGTAACATAAACTAAAGATGTTATAGTGTGAAACTAAGAAAGGTGTAGCATTTAACACAAACACACTGAGAATTAAGAATATTTGATGATTTAGTCAACGTGATTATTTTACCTTGTCTAACAGCTCTTGTACTTTTCGGTACTGGCTTTTCTGTAGCAGTGAATGAAATGGTGCAGAAAGTATGGTCTGTAACTTTTGCACGATATGAATTCACGGCCTAAAACACACATTTACACAACAGACAGCATGCGAGGATAATAATTTAATTAACAGAATAGCCATAATAGTTAACGTGGGATGATTGTCATCATAAAGCACAGTGGTATTTTAATTTAATTTAACAATTTTGCAGAATACCTAATATTTCAATAGAACATAGTTCGAAATTGTATGAAATCGGGGTAATAACCACCTCTAAACTCTGATCAACTTACACAGAAATCTACTACATTGAAAAGCTTAGAAAAATATAAGCTTTTGCAATGCACAGTTCATTGTTACAATACAATAAACGATATCACGTTTATACATGTAGCAGAAAAACAAATGTCAACATTGTTTAACTCATTAAATGACCAAAGCACATACTTTATTTGTGTTCAATCTCAAAATTATGCACAATTACGAATAATTGAGCTATGCATAGTGAACATTTTTTAAATTGCTTTTTCAAACTGGTTCAAAAACAAAATGGCCACCAATCAGCCATTTAGAGCCAAATTTACAAATTAAAGTGGTATGCATCAACTACCCATAATGGTTAATCTTTTCACCAAGTTTTAAAGAAAATCGGCCAACACGTGCTTGAGACATAAAATACCTGATTATAGTGTATTTTTACAACAAAAATCGCAACCATCTGAGTCCAAATTATGAAATCAATACACATCTATATGCATCTGATAAAGTACTAAAGTATGCATGAGGTTTGAAAAGAAATGGTCCAGGGGGTTTCCGAGGGATGGCTCTGAACGTGCGCACACACACATGGAGACTAAACCATAAATACCCGTTTTGATCTTCAACTAACAACACAGTGAAAAGCACAAACCCATGTTTATATTTATAATATTTATGAACAAAAATGATTTTTATTTAATAACAGTCTTTTATGCCGGGACCATCCTCCATTCCACAAAGCGTTTATCAGTGTGGCATACATTATTCTTTGGTCACTACGACATCAGTGCAAGAGCGTCATGTAGGCTATTTTTAATTTCAAAACATTTAGCTTCATAAATAATATAAAACATACATGGATTTGTAATCTCCCCTATAAAATTTGCATTCAGGACACAATGCTAGACTGTAAGATGGACCCTCAGGCCTACTTTGTTTATTTTTCCCTGAGAGAATAAAAATGAACTGCTGAAGTCGTCTAAGAAATGCTGTTGTCATTTCGGCAATGTGTTCAGTGTTGATATTAATTAAGCATGCTGAATGATGACATAATAAAATTGGCATACAGACAATTGAGGTCAGAATGTCACAGGTCACACATCCGTTTGTTTTATTTTTTGATTTTTTGAATAAATAATCATAGCACTGTTAAGTGAAAGAGAAAGGATACAATTTCGTCAGTTGTTATCCTTCCACTGCCCATCGGCACTGTAAGAACTACAACACTGCCTTGCAATTAGCTATCAATGACTTGTCACTAAACTGGTTTGAGGTCTTCATGACTAAGTTTGTTCAGTACAGATGAAATAAATATGGTCAAATGTCAATCCTCACTTCAGCAAACTCACTCAACAAGCGACCAATTTATGATCCAACACTGCACACTATGAGATTGGTTAATAAATTTATGATATCAATGGCCTGTCAATGTTGCGTTATCCACAATGCTGTGTGACGGTATTGAGAGCTGTAATAGCCTCTCAGGCCGAAATGGTATTGTGCAGTCGCCTTTGGCATTTCATTTTATTCTCTTAGAAAAATAAACAAATTAAGTCTGAGGGACTGTTGACAGTCCACTCAAGGCTAATAACATGGTTTAAGGGGGAACCACTCAATCCCATGGATTGCACCAAAGAATCATGGGACACTATTTTTTATGTTGTTTACAAAGTTAATCTATCTTTTGTTATCCATTGTAATTTTAATCCAGAAAGTAAACTTGTTGTGAGATTAGGCTTAACTGGTAGTGCCCCTTTAATAACATCATAAAATACATGCTGTAGATACAAGAAGATATCAACATTAAAACTGTCCACTTACTAGTTCCTCGTGTTGCAGAGTCAGCTGTTGGTTAGTTTGGACATTAGTCTCCAGTGCCGACGCTAGTTCACGATTACGCGACTAAAAAGCAAATAACAATATTATAAGCCAAAGACGACATTTAGTGAGTTTGCAAGCTACAAACACATGTATGTGAAAGCATCCAACAATTGAAACACCTAGGCAGTATATGGTTAGTTACCCCAGACCATTCGTCCCGGTGTTATCGCTATCGCCACACGAGACTCCAGCTTGTCTCCTATACAATTTGACTGCGCACATCCAGAAAGTAGATGTAGCTGTGATTGGTGGAATACTAATGAGTTGAGTGTCAATCAAACGCCCACGCTATCTTTAGTAAACAAAGTCACGTGACACGCGCCATTTTAGTTTTGATTAGTTCATCGGATCGGAGTGTCGGTGCTCGCCATCCATAAATCAAATCAAAATGATTTCTAATTGGAAATGGCATATTTTCATCAAACTCCTTTTCAACATCATGGTTGTTAATGTCCGTCACGTCGCTAAGTACATATGAACTGCGGTCATCATTGCAAATTGAATGTGAGAAAGTTATGGAACGTCGTTTTGAACTTGAACGT